AAAAAAAAAAAAATAAAAATAAAAATAAAAATAAAAAAAAATAAAAAGAATGGAAAGGCCTTTCTGCTTTGTACCTGGCTTAGTAGTGTGTAAACTATCCTGCTTTTGACTCCCATATGGAAAATGTTGCTAAATGTGTCTGATTCACCCTTCTCTTAGATACTGGTCTTCAGGAGTTTCATTGTAGTGTCTAGGTTTGTCTTCCAAGCTGCTGACACCTCTTTGGCTAATTTTGATGGTTTTGAGCTTATGAGCAGGGAGTGACAGTCTGTCACAACCACTACTTGGTCCAAAGCAATTACAAGATACCATTAATTACAAGAGGCATTTTTTTTTTTTTTTTTTTTTTTTTTGAGACGCAGTCTCACACTGTTGCCCAGGCTGTAGCTCAGTGGCGCGATCTTGGCTCACTACAGTCTCCGCCTACTGGGTTCAAGCAATTCTCCTACCTCAGCCTCCCAAGTAGCTGGGACTACAGGTGTGCGCCACCATGCCCAGCTGATTTTTTTTGTATTTTTAGTAGAGGCGGGGTTTCACCGTGTTGGCCATGATGGCCTTGTTCTCCTGACTTCGTGATCTGCCTGCCTCGGCCTCCCAAAGTGCTGGTATTATAGGCGTGAGCCACCACGCCCAGCCACAAGAGGCATTTTTACTTCAGAGATGTTAACATGACAAGAGCATGATAAAAGTGGTGAAAAGTGGTACTATCTATTCCCATGAGCTTTGAATAGAATAATTCTAACCACTCCCCCAGGCCACCAGGCTGTGGCCATAGTGGAATACTGCTACTTGTCACAGGCTTTAAGACTTTAAAAGGCTTCTTTCGGTTGTTGGCATGTAAGGAATGAATTCTACAGCAGAATTATGGGAATTGTGCTTCCTTTTTTTTTTTTTTTTTTTTGAGACAGTCTCATTCTGTTTTCAAAGCTGGAGTGCGAGTGCAGTGGTGAGATCTCGGCTCACTGCAACCTCCACCTCTCAGGTTCAAGCAATTCTTCTGCCTCAGCCCCCTGAGTAGCTGAGGTTACAGGCATGTGCCAACATGCCTGGCTTATTTTTGTATTTTTAGTAGAGCTGTAGAGATGGGGTTTCACCATATTGGCCAGGCTGGTGTCGAACTCCTGACCTCAAATGATCCACCCGCCTTGGCCTCCCAAAGTGCTGGGATTACAGGTGTGAGTTGCTGCAGTATACTTTAAAGGTTTAGATTTAACAAATTAATGCCTTGGATGCACACATTCGCAAGCTAGTTATAAGATTTTCAGAATATATGTTCATGGTGCTCTGAGCCTATATAGGGTCTAGAAATGAGACATAAATTTAAAGCTACATAATTAATGTGTTCTTTCAGAGTTTTCAATGTATCTATTGTTGAATGTATAATCTCATTTGTGGCAGTGTTCACAGTTTAAATTTGAGGCCCAAGGTTAATTGGTTCTCCTCTCACACCCTATAATATGTCCCACCTTGAAATAATTTAAGCCCGAAGTTTTAATGTTTAGAGCCTAGACCTCTGTGCAACATTTTTAGTGTAGTGAAGCCCTGATTTCAATTTTTAGAAATTAGGGTCGTATCTTCTGTTTTTTTTTTTGTTTTGTTTTTTTTTTGAGACGGAGTTTCGCTCTTGTTACCCAGGCTGGAGTGCAATGGCGCGATCTCGGCTCACCGCAACCTCTGCCTCCTGGGTTCAGGCAATTCTCCTGCCTCAGCCTCCTGAGTAGCTGGGATTACAGGCACGTGCCACCATGCCCAGCTAATTTTTTGTAGTTTTAGTAGAGATGGGGTTTCACCATGTTGACCAGGATGGTCTCGATCTCTTGACCTCATGATCCACCCGCCTTGGCCTCCCAAAGTGCTGGGATTACAGGCGTGAGCCACCGCGCCCGGCCTTGTTGTTGTTTTTTTTGAGACAGTCTTGCCCTGTTGCCCAGGCTGGAGTGAAGGAGTACAGTGGTATGATCCCGGCTTACTACAACCTCCGCCTCCTGGATTCAAGTGATCTTCCCACTTCAGCCTGACTGAATTTTTATATTTTTTAGTAGAGATGGGGTTTCACCATGTTAGCATGCTGGTCTTGAACTCCTGACCTTAGATGATCCGCCTGCCTCAGCCTCTCAAAGTGCTGGGATTATAGGCGCGCACCATCGTGCCCAGCTTAGGATCATGTCTTCTTATTCTACTAATGAATAAAGGGACTTATTTCCAGTTGGTCTTTGCCAAAAGGCCGAGAAGCGACAGGGGGGACTTATTTTCATTGGGTCACTTTGTGACACCTAGTTTTGGTTGGCCAACTTTAAACAAACATGATTATAACTAATAGATAAGGAACCCTGCCTCTTGGTGCTTTTTTTTTTCAGTCATATGAAATTAGTTTGACCAGAAGTTTTCTCCTCCTTCTGTCATTCATTATGAAGCATTTCTTATGTCAAAACTTGGTTCTTGGCTAGGCATGGTGGCTCATGCCTGTACCCAGCACTTTGAGAAGCTGAGGTGGGAGGATTGCTTGAGCTCAGGAGTTGGAGACCACCTTGAGCAACATGGCAAGACCCCATCTCTACCAAAAAATAGAAAAATTAGCTGGGCATGGTGGTGCATTCCTGTAGTCCCAGCAACTTGGGAGGCAGAGGCAGGAAGATCACCTTAGCCTGGGAGGTTGAGGCTGCAAAGAGCCATGATTATACCACTGCACTCCCGCCTGGGCAACAGGGTGAGACCCTGTCTCAAAGAAACCCACAAAACTTGGTTCTTATTTTCAGTGAGAGAACTACTAAGAATTTCATTATTTGGAAGTATTCATAGGCTGCTAAATAATTAATGTTCACATTATCCCCTTAGTGTCCATTGTTAGGAGATCCAAACATCTTTCCATTCTGAGGTAGACTCATCATACTAGGCAGTGACTTCCAACTTTGTATTATAAATCTGACAGTCTACATTTTCAATTTGCTTAAAGTCTTTCAAAAATCTTTTTATGGTGCTTATTTTGATATCACTAATTTGTTTCATTATTGATAACACCATTTAATTTTGTTTCGTATCTTTAAGTCTAATACTAGTAATGAGATGAAGCTACCGTCACTGAAGGATATTTATTATAAAAAACAAAGGGAAAACAAGCAGTTACCTGAGAGGAATCTCACTTCTGCTTCCAACCCAAATCATCCACCAGAGGTAAAGTTGTCCACATTCTGCCGAGTGAACGTGAATGATGCGTCCTGACTCTTTTACCTCAAGCTTCATTTTCCCTAGGAGATTTAAAGCCTACTCATCTGAAAACAAGCAAAGTAAAACCGAGTTCTGAGGGTGAGACTTCCCTTTGTCTTGTTTCTAGGTCCTGACTCTAGATCCTACATTACACATGAAGCCAAAGCAGCAGATTTCAGGGATTCAACTCCACAGCCTTCCGAATGCCCTGGATGACAGAATATCCTTTTCTCCGGACTCTGTTCTAGAGCCTAGCATGTCTAGTCCCTCTGACATAGACTCATTTTCACAAGCAAGTAATGTCACTTCTCAGTTACCTGAATTCCCAAAATATCCTTCACACACAAAAGCTTCTCCTGTGGACTCTTGGAAAAATCAGACATTCCAAAATGAAAGTAGGACCAGTTCCACGTTTCCGTCAGTATATACCATTGCTAGTAATGATATCTCGGTCAACACTGTAGATGAAGAAAACACTGTCATGGTCGCTTCGGCCTCAGTCAGTCAGTCCCAGCTTCCAGGTACAGCCAACAGTGTCCCAGAATGCATTTCACTGACTTCCTTGGAAGATCCTGTGATATTGTCTAAGTATGTATTTCACTGAATTGCTTGTAATGTTAATAGATTTTCTATGATGTCTGATTGAAAATGATCTTTATTGAACTTCAGTATTGCCTAAAATCTTAGAGATTTAGCATTTATAAGATAGAGCATATAAAAACTCTTTCACTCGATTGTCAACTTCTTGTGTATTAATCTATATATTTGGTGGCATGGAAAGAAAATATGCTATATATTTGCCCACAAGAATCATTGTGTTCTTCGTTTCTTTTGTGGGATGGAGATGGAGGATAGCTTTCATAACATGTATTTTTTATTCTCACTGGATAAGGATTAGGCAAAACCTGAAGGAAAAGCATGCTCGACACATAGCAGATCTTCGAGCTTATTATGAATCAGAAATAAATAGTTTGAAGCAGAAGCTGGAGGCAAAAGAAATCTCTGCAGATGAAGATTGGAAAATAACCAATCAAATTCTTGTAGACAGGTAAAATTTATAATTTAGCTGTGAAGTTTTCTCTACCTTGGATTTATTATTTTCACAGAAGTATATTGTGATAAAACACTTTGAAAACATATACTTTGGATTTGAAATTTTAATAGTCACGTTTGCCTAAATATTTGAAGCTATGAACCCACCTCTTTTATTTTTTTAAACACAATCTCATTCTTGTCACCCAGGCTGGAGTGCAATGGCTTGATCTCAGCTCACCACAACCTCCGCCTCCCAGGTTCAAGTGATTCTCCTGCCCCAGCCTCCTGAGTAGCTGGGATTACAGGCATGCACCGCCACACCTGGCTAATTTTTTTGTATTTGTAGTAGAAACGGGGTTTCTTCATGTTGGTCATGCTGGTCTCACTCCTGACCTCAGGTGACCTGCCCTCCTCGGCCTCCCATAGTGCTGGGATTACTGGCATGAGCCACTGCACCCGGCTGAACCCACCTCTTCTAATACACTAATAACTGACAGGGAGCCATCTGTTTCACATGGCAAAACACTGAAACAGTTTAGCGAATTTTGTATGTGAAGAGTAATGCCATTGATGGGAGGAGAAGTACTATGGACTTCCTAATATTTATGACTTATGTCCTATGGCAGTTCTCAACCTTTTTAAAAGGCCCATTAAAGTACTATAGTTCCCATTCCAAAAAAAAATCCGCAAAGAAATATAGGGGAGAATGGTCTTATATTCAGGATAGCTTCACACCTATTTTAGAATCACTTAGAAAATTTGATGCTTTCACTGGTATTAGGAATAGAGTCCTTGCAATGTACTTTATAATTAAACAGGACTTAGGCATCGTGGCTCACATCTGTAACCCAGCACTTTGGGAGGCTGAGGCATGTGGTCTGTTGAGCTCAGGAGTTCAAGACCAGCCTGGGAAACATGGTGAAACCCTGTCTCTACAAAAAAATTGAAACATTAGCTGGAGTAGTGGTGTGTATCTGTGGTCTCAGCTACTACTTGGGTGGCTGAGGTGAGAGGATTGCTTGAGCTTAGAAGGTCAAGGCTGTGGTGAATTGAGGTTGTGCCATTGCAGTCCAGCCTGGATGACAGAGCAACACTCTGTCTCCAAATAAATAGGACTTAAATAGATTGAAAATTGATGAAGGTCTACCTGATAGCAAGGAGTTCTCTAAGGAGTAAAGACAAAGGTCACTTCAAAGAGCCAAGGAGGGAACTAAAATCTTCCATCTGGTTAAGGGTTTAACTTTCAAAGTTATGGGAAAACTAACTTTTGTACTAAGTAGTTTTGGTTGCTGTGGTAGTTAACATGGCTATCTTATTCCTGAATGTTTCTACAGCTTTCATTTTGGATTTGGTGGTGTGGGGGTACAATGGTAGGGAAAAGTAATTTGAAAAAGAGCCAAACAAGAAAAGATACAGGTTTAGGTTTTTTCGGACAAAAACAGTGGATGGCAGGTTATGGGAAGTTGGATTTTTTTTGTTTTTGTTAAGAAGGCAAAGATGAGGCTGGGTGTGGTGCCTCATGCCTGCAATGCCAGCACTTTGGAAGGCCAAGGCAGGCAGATCACTTGAGGTCAGGAGTTCCAGACCAGCCTGGATAACATGGTGAAACTCAGTCTCTACTACATATACAAAAAGTAGCCAGATGTGTTAGTGCACACTGAAAATCCCACCTACTCGGGAGGCTGAGACTAGAGAATTGTTTGAACCTGGGAGGCGGAGTTTACAGTGAGCTGATATTGCAACACTGCCCTCCAGCCTGGGCGACAGAGTGAGACTCAAGTCTCAAAAACTAAAAGGGAAAAATAACTGCAGTTACTTCCCATAGGAAAACAAGTATGAAAGAAGCCCACCAGTGAACTTTTGAAGATTAAAGACAGAGTGCTAAGGAAAGCACCTAGAATAAATTAGAGCCAGCTAAAACATTTTTGGTTGAGTGAGGTGGCTCAAGCCTGTAATCCCAGCACTTTGGGAGGCTGAGGTGGATCACAGATCACCTGAGGTCGGGAGTTCGAGACCAGCCTAACCAATATGGAGGAACTCTGTCTCTACTAAAAATACAAAATTGGCTGGGTGTGGTAGGGCATTCCTGTAATCCCAGCATTCAGGAGGCTGAGGCAGAAGAATCACTTGAACCTGGGAGGCTGAGGTTACCATGAGCTGAGATAGCGCCATAGCACTCCAGCCTTGGCAACAAGCAAAACTCTGTCTCAAAAAACAAACCAAAAAAACCATTTTTATGATTAGAAGATGTTTGAGCATGTAGAGCAATGAGCAAATGTAGGTGGAGCAAATTGGAAGCTAGGGGTTTTAAAAAAGTAAATGGCTGTGTTACAGCAGTTAGTAACAGTGGCAGGTGTGGTTTCTGGAGTAAATGTAATCACTGTGCAAATGAATAGCAATACATTATTTTCTCCTACTTCCCAAAAAAGATTTGATCTGGCTTATAGTAAAAAAAAAAAAAAAAAAAAAAGCTATGTTACAGAGGACAGTAGAAACAAAATAAATTGCAGTCATTTAGAACTGGAGAAATGATTCCCCCAAGATACAAACCATTATTAGCAATGCATATACACTGGTTTTTTCAAACTTAAAATTGCAAATTTGAGAATCGCCCTGGTGTTACAAATGGGGCCATTAGCCATTAGCCAGCTGTGATATCAGTTATTATGTCATGGATTTGGAACTTGGGACAGTGATCTCTGTCACATTAGAATCTGTAGTACTGAAAAAAGTCAAATACAATTTACACACTTACACTTGACTATTTGACTTTTCTCAAGAATGGTCTTACATAATTCAGGTTTTTGTGCTAAAAATAAAAATAAATAAATAAAGAATAGTCTTATGGCTGGTCCGATGGTAGTGGGTTATCAGAACTTATTAACATTAGTGTCTCTAAAGTTGGTATACAACCCCCCACTGCTAAATTTAACTTGTTTTTTTTTAAAAAAAAAAAAAGAATAGTCTTATCACTGTTTCATGTCTGAGATGCATTAATGCACAGCAGTTAGGAGCATGAACGCAGAGTGCCCAGCTTATGCTCCCAGTGTGACTGCTTACAACCTGTGTGACTTTCAGTGAGGAACTGAACTGTCTTGTTTTCTCCATTCTAAAATGTGATCAATGATGATCTTTTTTGGGGGGGTGGGGTGGGGGAGGGAGGGAGGCGGCAGGTCTCCCTCCTCTCCCCTCCCGTCAATCTTAATTCACAGAATTGTGAGGATAAGTGGAACATGCTTAACAAAGACCTGGTGTATACAGTCAGTGCTAAATAAATACAGCTTTTATTTATTTATTTATTTATTTATTTATTTTTTTTGAGACAGAGTTTCGCTGGTTACCCAGGCTGGAGTGCAGTGGTGCGATCTCGGCTCACCGCAGTCTCTGCCTCCTGGGTTCAGGCAATTCTCCTGCCTCAGCCTCCTGAGTAGCTGGGATTACAGGCATGCGCCACCATGCCCAGCTGATTTTTTGTATTTTTAGTAGAGACGGGGTTTCACCATTTTGACCAGGATGGTCTCGATCTCTTGACCTTGTGATCCACCCGCCTCGGCCTCCCAAAGTGCTGGGATTACAGGCTTGAGCCACCGCGCCCGGCAAATACAGCTTTTATTCTTCACAGTATGTTAAACACCGAGTCAAAATGGTCATTGAATTCTTCTATGTATTTTATTATTTTGAGGGTCTGTAATAATTCACTTTACAAAGGAAGTTAATTATAAGAATAGTTATATTCATGCTAAGTTTGAAATAGTACAGAAGTACGTAATATGAAAAGTAAATTGGATTACTTGAGCATAGAAGTTTAAGACTAGCCTGGACGATAAAGTGAGATCCCATCTCTACAAAAAAATCAAATTAGCTGTATGTGGTGGTGCATACTCAGGAGGATGAGGCAGGAGAATTGCAGAAGGTTGAGGCTGCAGTGAACCATGATTGATTGCACCACTGCACTCCAGCCTGGAATGAGATTGCACCACTGCACTCCAGCCTCTTATATGGAATGAGATCCTGTCTCCAAAAAAAAAAAAGTAAATCTCCTTTCCCATTCTCTAGTCCCAAATCCCAAATTTAATTTTTTGTATTTTCCCAGAAGTCATAATACATATATATATAGATAGATTTTTTTCATAACTAAGATCAAGCTACTTTATGCACATGTCTTTTTTTATATCTTTAAAAAAATTAATTTTAGGCTAGGCATGTTAGCTCACGCCTATAATCCCAGCAAGGCTGAGGTGGGAGGATCACTTGAGACCAGGCTGTACAATGTAGGGAGACACTATCTCTACAAAAAAAAAAAACACAAAAAAAACGAATTTCACACTGTTACTCAAGCTGGAGTGCAGTGGCATGATCTTGGCTCATGGAAACCCCATCTTCCCACGTTCAAGCCACCCTCTCACTTCAGCCTCCTGAGCAGCTGGAACTACAGGCACATGCCATCACGTATTTGCAGTAGAGATGGGGTTTCACCATGTTGGCCAGGCTGATCTTGAACTCCTGGCCTCAAGAGATCTGCCTACCTCAGCCTCCCAAAGTGTTGGTATTACAGGCGTGAGCCACTGTGCCTGGCCAATTTTGGCGTTTTCTTTACATACTATACTATCAGATTCATTGGGTTATATTCTACTAAAATGGCATCCTGAGACTTAGCTAACGCTGGAGAATTTGTCTTATGTTACATATCAGAGAATTGGTTAGATTTATGTAATACTTTAAGGGTAATAATTTTATCTTCTAATTGAAACTAAATTTATGGTTTTTAGATGTGGCCAGTTAGATAGTGCTCTGCATGAAGCTACTAGTCGCGTAAGAACACTTGAAAATAAGAATAACTTACTGGAAATTGAAGTGGTAAGTATATATTTTTTTTTTTTGGTGGGAGTTCTGGTGAGACAAATGAAGTATTTCACAATAACATCGATTATGTGTTTGTCTTTTTAAGAAAGGCTTATGAAGTTTATGTTTTTAGTGCTGTTGGCTTCATATAGTACTATAAACTTTATCTTTTTAAAACGTACCTTTTGGCCAGGTGTGATGGGTAATCCTGGCACTGTGGGAGGCTGGGGTGGGAAGATTGCTTGAGTCCAGGAGTTCGAGACCAGCCTGGGCAACAAAGGGAGACCCCTGTCTCTACAAATTAGCTGGGCATGGTGGTGCACACCTGTGGTCCCAGCAACTTGGGAAGCCGAGGGAGGTGGATGACCTGAGCCCAGGAAGTTGAGGCCGCATGACCATGATTGCGCCATGGCACTGCAGCCTATGCAACAGAGCACAATCCTGTCTCAAAAAAATTTTTTTAATTGAGATAGAATTTGCATACCATAAAACTTACCCTTTAAAGGGTACAATTCCATGAATTTTAGTATATTTAGAGTTGGGCAGCCACCACCACAATCAATTTCAGGACATTTTCCTCAGTCAAAAAACAAAAACAAAAAACAAAAAAACCTCACATCCCTTGGCGTCACCCCCACACATTCTGTCCTCCCACGCCCTGGCAACCACACCTCAGTTTTCTTTCTCTAGGCATTTGCCTTTTCTGAACATTGATATAAATGCAGTCCTAGACTGTATGGCCTTTTGTGTCTGGCTTTTTCACTTAGTACAATATTTTCAGGGTTCATCCATGTTGTAATATTATCAGTCTTCATTCCTTTTTATGGCAGAATATATTTCATTCTGTGAATAATAACCCATTTTTGTTAATATTCATCAGGTAATGTTTAGATTATTTATACACTTTCTGGCTATTTAAATTATTTTGCTATGAACGTTTGTCAACAAGATTTTATGTGACACATACATTTTTAGTTTTCTTGAGTATATAACTAAAAGTGCATAAGCTTTTTATGCTAAAATTACTTTTCTCCCCATGCGTTACCAAGTTTTATTTTTTTTACACTTTTTTTCTTTCTGAACAAAGACCTTTATTATGTCTTTCTCAATCTTTTGGTGTAAGACAGTCTTTTTAAGTGTAAAAAATTTCTCAAAGTCTGTGTTTGCAAGTTTTATTTTAATATCTATTAGAAGATAAAATGCATGATAACTATCATAGAGTAGCATGTATATGTATGTGATATATGCAACTTTATAAACAAAATTTTGGTGGAAAATGTCTCTTTTGGAGGTTTTTTGTTGAAATGGAGTCTCGCTCTTGTCCAGGCTGGAGTGTAATGGCGCAATCTTGGCTCACTGCACTCTCTGCCTTCTGGCTTCAATCGATTCTCCTGCCTCAGTCTCCCAAATAGCTGGGATTACAGGAGCCCTCCCCCCAAGCCTGGCTAATTTATTTATTTATTTATATTTATTTATTTATTTTTTATGACTGAGTCTCCGTAGAGACTGCCAAAAATTGCCAATGCCAACTATATTTCAAGTCGTCATGGTGGGGTATTGGGAAAAGTTTTCAATTAGCAATAATCGCGCCTCGGCTAAACCTCATTGGCTACGAAACTGCCACTGCGCAAAGCTTAATTTTTGTATTTTTCGTAGAGACGGGATTTCACTGTGTTGGCCAGTCTAGTCTTGAACTCCTGACCTCAGGTGATCCATCTGCTTTGGCATCCCAAAGTGCTGGGATTACAGGCACCTGGCCTATTTTGTTTTATATGTTTTTATCTTTACTTTTTTTCTTTTTTTTTTTTTTCCGAGACAGGGTTAACTGTCGCCCAGGCTAGAGTACTATGGAGCCGTCATGGCTTACTGTGGTCTTGAGCTCTCGGGCTCAAGTGATCCTCCCACCTCACCCTCCTGAGTAGTTGGGACTACAGGCACACACCACCACAGCAGGCTGATTTTTAAAAGTTTTGGTGAGACAGGGACTCCCTATGTCGCCGAGGCTGGCCTCAAACTCCTGGACTCCAGCAATCCTCTCAACGTGCTGGCATTTTCACTGTGAGCCACAGTGCCTGGCCTGTTTGCTTTTTTAGTTCTTTGTCTTCTCCTAAGCTTCATGACATTAGGGACTATTTATTTGTTTATCTTACATTTCTGGCACCGTAGTGCCTGGCACCTAGTGGGTATTGCAGAAATGATTGTTGAATAAATATTAACATATCAGATGGGTTTTTTTTTTTTTTTTTTTTTTTTTTTT